TCCTACTTTTGTGAGGATTTTTTATACAAGATAAATAGTCTTAATTACCCTGCATCAGACACCATTTCCCAATTATAGCTGTAAGTTAAAAGACAATTTTCATAACGGTAAATAAACTTACAAACTTTTATTAAAAAAAAATCATAGCCAGTTGTTAGAATTAGCTAGGTTATTCAATGGATTCGCTAGATTGGAAACGGTGACTGTGGATAGATTAAGTGTACTGGAAATTGGTACACATTATAGACGAGCGTGACGTAGTCGTCCACTCAAGCTGTTTTAAGATCTTAATCAGGGCCAAGCGTGAACAGAGCCTCCATGTAAAAGAGAACTTGTCCAAACACAAACTGTAGCCAGGGGTTAACCAAGTGAATTCCGCGATCAAAGAAAAGTTAGTAACTAAAGGAAAAAAAAATGAATACCTTCCAGGAACCGATGGAAAAAAATGGCCACTCTAAGAAACTGTTCAGAGTGCTGGCTATTTGTAATTTATTTATTCTTCTATGTTTTATATTTAGGGGAACAATAATAACGTATGCTTTTTGTTTGTTTAAATGAGACCTTGGATTTAAATTATATCATACTTATTGTTTCTCGTGCAAAGTTTTATTTGACTCTTTTTATTACCTTGAAGCCTTCTTACCATAACAAGAGGTATTACCTGCGTATTTGAGTATTATAAACGCTTCTTTGGTGAAATCAATAAACAAATACAATTTTAAAATAGTATATTTTACCTCAACCCTAATCCCTCCTCCTCCTCCTTGAGTGCTGGATCACCTACCATATCCCGCGTGTGTTATTCCTCTGTGCATTGGTGGGGTGATGGGTACACACAGCGTTTCGTTGCAACTATAAAATGTACTGAACTCCTAGTGTACAAAATGTAAGAGAAGTTTTATGTTATAATTAGTATGAAACATAAAACAAAAAGGTTGAGAAACTAACACCTTGAAACTATATTTACTTCCCTATCCAAGACGTATATTTACTTAATCAACGATATTGTTAAAAAATAACTGAGTATAACACTCGCTTGTAACTCTTTGTTGTAATTGTTTTCAAATTATACTGTTAGTGTTAGTCTTTTTTGTTTTACTGTTTATTCATTATTATGTTTATTAGGTATGTTTAATTAATGGTCAATTTTGTCCTAAAAAAAGACTAATATTGTTAACCTGTTTGGAACGATGACTGTTAAATAAAGATCTACGTTGTCTAAGACAGTTGTAGATGTTTAAACTGGGCGTAATAGGGTGCTATGACAGTGCAAGCTTACTGTACGTAGCTATATTGAGTATCGCATGTAGCATCAGATCAACGTGCCTTTTTTACTTTTTATTTAAGATATAAAAGCATTTGATTGTTCCATATGACTTTTTTAAACTACGTGTGAACGTTTGATTTCACATATATATATGTATGTATTACCTGTAAAATTAAAGAGTTTTCAATTAAATATAAAATTGTAATTCTAGTGACGTCACCTGTTTTAACCACTCGCACTACCATACAGTAGTGTGTTGTCTATCAGTCAGTCCATGTTGCTTTGCACCAATAAACTTCAACCAACCAATTGTCAGTCAATCAGTAGACACTAAAATGACATCATAAAAGGACACTCAACGTTGTGATTGGAACTATCGTGACGTCAGTAAAATGTACGCATGCCATGAATCACGAGAAGAATTATGCATTCTGTAAGCTACAACACAGCATGGCGTGAACTTCAAAAGCAAGAAATAAAAGTTTTTGTTATTCTTAATTTTGGTTTTATTTACTCTTGAAACAGAACACTTTTGGGGACCCTGCGGAAGTACATCTAGTCTGTAAATTATGCAAATCACTCTGAAACTTTGTTCGATAATGCGTTGCGAACTTTCGAAGGTTAAAACCTACCCTTCGTTACAGTCTTAGGTCCTAGTCATATTCAGTAATGAAGGTTACCAGTTAAAGTTTAAACTTACACCTTTTTTTTGAAAGAGGTCGCAGTAAGGCTCGTTGATCGAAAATGTTTCATTTCTTTAGTTTTCATGGTCTGGTAGTTAGGGCGCTTGACTCACAACGTGAAGATCGCGGATTCGAATCCCCGTCCCACCAAACATGCTCGCCCTTTCAGCCGTAGGGACGTTATAATGTGATGGTCAATCCTGCTAGTGGTTGGTAAAAGAGTAGCTTAAGAGTTGGCGGTAGGTGGTGATGACTAGCTGTCTTCCCTCTAGTCTCTCACTACTAAAATAGGGATGTCTTGCGTAGATAACCCTTGTGTAGCTTTGCACGAAATTCAAACCAAACAATATGTATTTTTGTTCTGGATTTAAATCAAATGTCAACACAATACTTTTATGAAATGGATTTTTTGTTAATCGTTTATAGTAAATTTCTGCCAAACCCAAAATTTATAAAGGTAACTTTCTAGTTTCGGTGCTTTAAAGCTGCTACACGCTTGCCAATTTCTACCAACCCATTAACAGAATAACTTATACGCTTCGTTAACTTGGCTTTCGATACCCGGAGTGGGCACAGCACAGATAGCCCATTATATATTTCTATGCTTAATAACACAAGTACAAGCCTAATTAATTCGGAATTACTACATCACGAAAAAAAAATTATTTCGTCTCTAGTCTTTCTATATCTTCCTTGGCTTGGCATAGCCAGTTGGTTTAGGCGCTCGATTCGCAATCTGCGGGTCGTGGTTTCGAATCCCAGTCCCACCAAACGTGCTCGCCTTTTCAGCAATGGGGGTATTATAATGTGACGGTCAATCCCACTATTCGTTGGTAAAAGAGCACCACGAGACGTTGGGTGGTGATTACTAGCTGCATTCCCTCTAGCCTTTAAACATTTGTATATTTGAGTTCTTTCGAGATATTTGTTAAATACATAAATTTCTTTGCGTTTTTCTGTAACTCTTTAGCTTTCAAAACTTCCTCTGGTTTTCAATGCTATTAATCGAAACATCCCATACTTCTTATTCCAGAATTATGTTTGATTATTCCTCCCACCATTGTAAGTTAAAATATCTCCACCAGATTTAAATGTAAAATAAAACATTATCTGTCTATTTTCGATTCAGAGCATGCGTAAATCATGTAACGAAAATGTATGTTTATCAAAAAATTTTTTTTCTCAATTATTTTGTATTTGATGAAGACACTTTAATCTATTCATATGTTACACATACATTGATTTATTGCGTTATTACATGCACAAACAGACGTACTAATTTGGAAAACTAACTAAAATATAGTTTTAATTCATAATAACGTACAATACCAAATGTATATGGATGAAAATATGACAATTTCACGTGTCCTTTTCAGATTATAAATTCCTCATTTTTTTAGCGTGTACACAAAATATAGAAAACTTGTATTATTCCTTCAGTCCCTGTCCTTTGCTAAATTCAGACAGATAGCTACTGTAATAGATTTAATTATTCCTCGTTACGTGAGCTTGTTATAGCAAGATTTTACTAATCTTTCTTGTTGTGTTATGTTTAGTGTATTAACCATTATAGAAGTTTTAAGTTCAGCCACTGGTTTCCTAGCAATATACTCAAAGTAATGGTTTTGACTCATTTCGTTTGTACTAGCTTCCAGTTTTCTGAAACAGCTTCATAAAGAAACGATAAGACATGAAAAAAATGAAACCTTGAAAATCTTTTTTTTTTAAGTACTAGAATGTAGTGTTAGCAGAAGTGAAATGTAAGTACTTAAACAGCCAATCCAAAAATTATTTTTATTGCTATTTTTCGTTTAGTACCTAGTAGAATATAAAGTTTACAAAATCATATAATAAGAGATATAAATGTTTATATACACATAAAGTATATATATACCCTTCACACACATTCTCACACACACAGATATATATATATGTGTGTGTATTTCGAATACAAATTACATCATTGTTTTTTTTTATTCTACACATGATAGTTAGTATCTATCAAAATACATTCTTGGCAGAAATCAAAATATACCGAGTTAGGACTACAATAAATATATCTTATTGGCCTAAGGATTAATAATAACGATCGCGATAATAATAATAATAAGCAATAATGATCTTAATTAATCTCCCCGTTTCCATATTTTTTAAAGTATGAAAATACATGTACAAATTTAAATTGAATATTTTTCATTTTCTGGTAAGAATTATTAAGTATATGGTTAATAATGAACTAATAATTACACCAGTTTTGTTAGTGCAAAAATCAACAAGTTTTGTACATATTGTTTTCAACTATCCTAATCATTAATTAAGCTGTATATAATAGAGTTAATTCATCGGCATGAACCTGTTCTTGTTCGTTCCATTTACGTGTTTTCTGTTGGAAGAGTGAATATATTCTCTTTGAAATTGACCTGTTTTAAGACTACCGCTGTTTTTGAACTGCACTGCTTCCAGCGACCGAATGTCGGTGCGGACGTTTCTGTATCTTGTTTGGTTTTAACGTCATCCTTGTTTTGACGCCCTCTAGGAAACATAAGTTTCTCAAGGGCGCCAAAAGGAGCTTCGAACAGCAAATAAACACCGAGTGCAATGAACATTGTCATAGTAATGTAGCCAGCGAAGTCAAAAGACTGAAAAGTAAAATAATTAATTCTAGGTATTAGGAGACAATTAGACTTTTTGAAAAACAACAGAAAACAACAAAGTGGGTTTTAGAAATGATTCTTATTCCAGACAACTTACAACAAACATGTTTTTAGGGAGTCAAGTATATACTAATAAGTTTGGTTTTAAAAATGAAAAATTAACATAAACTTTGTAAATCAAACACCTACCTGTTCAAAATGGCTGAAATTTCGTCGTTCACGTTGGAGTCCGTTCCTTACCCAGAAGATAACAAAATGGCATAGATAGGCCGAGTAAGTGAGTCGACCAAGAGGAAGGAAGATTTTCCACGAGAGGAAGGAATTGATCAAACCTAATTTACATAGCAACACATGTATAATTATGGATAGGTTTGTCACACAAATATAATTATCATTAGATATGATTTGTCATACAAATATGATTATCATTAGATATGATTTGTCATACAAGTATCATTATCATTAGATATGAGTTGTCATACAAATATAATATCATTAGATATGATTTGTCATACAAATATAATTATCATTAGATATGATTTGTCATACAAATATAATTATCATTAGATATGATGTTGTCATACAAATATAATTATCATTAGATATGATTTGTCATACAAATATCATTATTATTACATATGATTTGTCATACAGGTATCATTATCATTAGATATGATTTGTCATACAGGTATCATTATCATTAGATATGATTAGTCATACAAATATCATTATTATTATATATGATATCTGTATGACAAATCATATGTAATGATAATGATATCTGTATGAGAAATGATATACAATAATAATGATATTTGTATGACTAATCATATCTAATGATAATGATACCTGTATGACAAATCATATCTAATGATAATGATATATGTATGACAAATCATATGTAATGATAATGATATCTGTATGAGAAATGATATCTAATGATAATGATACTTGTATGACAAATCATATGTAATGATAATGATATCTGTATGAGAAATGATTATCATTACATATGATTTGTCATACATATATCATTATCATTAGATATCGTTTGCAGGTAGTAAGGTATTAAAAACATAGATCTGACGTTTGAGAATGTCTAAGAAATAACAATAATTATCCATTTTCTAACGCAATATTTCTTTTATAGTTTGAAAAATGAAATCTAACACGTTGTAGAATAAAATACATTGTATATGCAGAAATATTTACATCCGACGGACTACAAGACATTTGAAATATAGGTTAAACGAATCTAAAAGATATGTGACAGTAATTTCTCTTTAGACGTAGAGGGACATGTTGAAGAAAAGAACAACAACACCTAATTTCGTGGGAAAATACCATGTTACCAGCACATTCTGGTAGCTTAAGTGCCATAATTATTAAATAATCTTTATAAATAATTAAATACTTGGAAAAATATAAGCACAATATTAACACATTTAGTGAGTCAGTAAGACCAAATTCGGGGGGGGGGGGGTTACAGATAGGCATCACGGTTTCCGGTTAAAGCCAACGAACTGTGCTTTGCATAAAATATTAGAAGTGTTAATGTCCTGAAAGGTATTACACTTAGACATTTTAGAGCGGCAAGAAAATTTCGTTCAGCATTCTTCGACCATCTCTATCGATAGAACTCGCGAAAACCGCGGAGGAAACGCATTTATGGAACTGAGGAACCAAATCTTGTTCGGCGCAACATGTACGGTTACTACCATATTTTGTGTGGGAATTTGTACTGAAGTGTGGGTTTTACTTCCTCGTAGCCTAGAAATTAGTACTAGTTCGGACAAGCTCATGGACAATTCAGATTCCATATATCGCAAACAGTTCAAATCTCTATTTAGAATTAGAAAAAAAAGAGAAAGAATTAGATTATCGGAAAGTTTTGTTTGGGAATCAACCCACCAAACAGACTTTCAGACTGGGTATCAAATAAACGTGAAGATAGGCCCATTGTTGTTATAGGTAGCGTGATCTTTTGTAGTAGCACTAGTAGAATGGTGTAATACGTAGCTTAGATATAAATATGCGATAGTATCGGAAGGCTGTAAATAGTTGTTTTAATGAGAGCCTTGGATTGATCTGGGTATAAATTGTAAAGTCAAACGTTGTCTGCGTTAATTATTGATTTTAGAAATGTATTATCTCATTTTTTTATATTTTTTTTTGGGGGGGGGGGAGAGGAGAATTGACTAAAAAGTTTAGGATCGAACTTTCAAACAGGATCGATTGTGTAATTAGAACTACTCAACTATATTTGGGCCTAATTATTATTATTATTATTTTATGTGAACAAATTCTAGTTACTGGTAGAGTTGCATAGCAGTGGCCTTGTAAATTCAAGTTTTCGTCTTTTCTTTTTACCTACATCGTAAAGGAATGATAAGTATAAGAATACTGAATATAATGTAGAGACTTTCCTACTAACAAATCGTGGTTTATTTTGGTTTATTTTCTTTCGTTATACGCCTATCGCGAAATACAGGTATTAGATAAACAGCAGCGGACGATGTTTCAACAGTATATTTTAAGACAGAATATAGCCTAGAGGTTATTGTTCTGGGTTATGTACTTAGGGGGTTCAAGCCTCGATATGTGATGAACTGAACACGCTCCGCGCATTCAGTTGTAGTCGCGTTATAAAAGTGACAGTTAATCCCGATATTCGATTAAAGAAACAATAATAAAGCCCTTGTGGCAGCGGTGCGGCTGGATGACTTCTTTCCCTCTGGTCTATAATTTGAAATTATGGACGGCTACATTTGAACCATAATGGTATTTTACCAGTGTATTTTGTCTGTTTAGGGTCGGTATTTGAATATTTGTGTCTTTTGCAATAATACGCATTTAAACCAACAAAAACAATCACATTTTGAAAGAAACGACAAAGTTTCGGCAAAAATAACACTATTTGTCGACACGAATATTACGCACGTACCTCCTCTGCCTGTAGCACAAGCAAATGTCAACCAACCCAGTCCAACAGCCCATACAGTGTGATAGAGAGAAGCGTACAAGCCAGCTTCCCAGGCGGGAGGGAGGTTTCCCCTATTGAACTCGTAGGCTCCGTACAAAGTTGAAACGTTGCAAGTTATAGCAATGATCCACAAGAATACCTGCAAGGCCTTTGAAACATAATAAAATGAAGACAATAATTTGTGTATAGATAATAACAATATTTGCTGGTTTATCTATTCATTAAAAGTCCCAACCTTCCAACAAAGCTAATCTAGCAACACAGTGAAAAATTCGACAATGAGAACTTCTATAATTAACAAATGAATGTTCAACAAAGAAGAGTTAAACGTTTTCACATAAAACAGTGTTACAAATTAGGTTTCATTTACAAACTAAAAATAACAGATTTGTGGATATACTCATACATCATGACAGAGAGATAAGGATATAAAATTCGTCGAATTAACACAAAATTATTAGTACCTGTTAGTAATAACAAGCGTATATTTGAAATTTTAAAGTTTCTCTTGAAAGATTTAAATGAGAAAGTTAAAACTAATCACTTCTAAGTTGGGTAATAATCCAAATGTCTACCAACTTTTGTCCGAATCCATTCAACCGTTTTCGAGAAATCTTGTGTGACAAACACACACACACACACAAGAGAAGGGGGAGCGGAGTGTATGCTTGTAAACTAGCAGAAATTTGAATCTACTCTTATTGAGATATATAAAGGTACTCGTGATTGCTGATATCAGATTCATCCACGCACTGTTTAACAATAATTGTGGTTTCGTTTTTCCAAGTTTCTCAATTAGTTTGTGATCTAAGCCAAAATGCAAAATATTTTCTAATTCTAATCTTCCATTAGTTTTAAATCATCTATATCACCTATATCGGAGAAATAACGATATGTCAAAATTAAGTGAAGTGTTATACTTCGCCTGTGAAGATATAATTGTGATATACTTAAACTCGAGGATACTAGACTGTGATATATCCATTTAATACAAGTGGAATATGGTAAGTTTTCAGATATTCGTGGAAATGTACACGAGAGATGTATTCACACACACCCATCTCTAACTTTGAACTGATATACTAGTGTCATCTCTTTAGCTACTCTTGTCTTAATGAATAATCGTATTTGAACGTCACTCGTATAGCGCACCCACTGTTTCAAAGTTCGGACTAAGTTTTTGTGAAAATGGGACATGAACTAAGTAGCTTCGGCTTCACTGTCTGAGCACATTAGCTACTAGGCCACACTCAGCCCATTTTTTTAGAAGTAAAACATGAAAAAACAGTAATTTTGAAAATATTACTGACTTAAATATTACTGAACCAATGAAATGACTTTTGATTACTTTCCATAGAGCAAAAATAGTGTGAAAAATGGGTCCCCATGTTAACAGATAGTTTTTTTTATCATCCTGACCTTACTGTGACCTTGACCCTCCAAAAACTAATCACTGCTAAGTTTGGTAATAATCCAAATGTCTATCAACTTTCGTCCTAATCCATTTAGCCGTCTTCGAGAAATCTTGCTGACAAACACACAACAAATACACACAAGGGGGGGGGGGAGGTATGCTAAATTAGAATAAATTATCAGTATTAAGCTCAACCGAAAGAATGGGTCATTGTGTAGGTGGCGTGCTACTTTTTTCTTCTGTTCACAGATAATATGATAACTGTTATCTAGTAAATGTGTCTAAAGAGTTGCTTAGATATTGTCACCAGAAGTATATTTCACCATTCAAGGTTATTTCCTTTACATATATAGTGCTATACGGAGCGTACTATTCCTATAGGCAATGAAAAGAGAAAGAAAAGGATATTTCACTTACCGGATCTATAACGGTATCTCGATAGTGTAGGATTAAGTAAGCTACAATTATACCAACGCAGTATGGGCCCATATGTGTGTAGGGTTTCCAGTAAATATCCATTACAATTTCTTCATTAAATCTGTAATTAAAAAAAGGTTTTAATAAAACATTTTTTTTTAAACAACAGAGTGATATATTTTAGGCTGTTTGTTTATGGGTAAAGGGAAGTCTATTCAACATTTTTTTTATTATTAAGAATTTGAAATACTATTTATAACAAAGCTACTATGGCTATCTGCCGCCGTCCCTAGTTTTGAACTACTGACCAGAAGTAGAAACCGGGTTTTGATACTCCTAGTGGGCGGAGCCCAGATAGCCCATTGTGTAGCTTTATGCTTAAATTACAACAAACAAACATACTGACCAGAGGTAAGGCAAGTAGCCAATAGTAACTACCGTCAAATTATGAGCTACTTATGCCTCACTAAATGGTGAAATTTTACCATCATTCAATTAGTGTTATTTAAACCAACTACCAACAAGCTCTAGAAATGTTTGTTTTTTGTTTGCAAATACCTATCACTAGAGGGATCTGCAAACCAAAACGTTTTTACCAGTGATTTGTTAGCCAGAGGTCAACGCTAATGTAATATATATTTCTTTCCACTGTAGAAAACACTGATATGGTTAATTCCTTTTTCCTTAGTAACTTGTAAATCTTTTAATAGAAATTTATTCGATATAGATTTTATAAATAGCGGTTGTCTGGAAATTAATTTATTGCATCTTTCCAAAAATGTATATTCGTGACGATACGGAACTAGTTATTTTAACTAATTTTTGTTGTTAAGCATATAATTACACTATTGGTTATCTGTGCTATGCCCATCTTTGATATCATAACCTGAATTTTTAGCATTAAAAGCCCTCAGACCTACTCATAACTTGTTAAGGTAATTGGTATCTTAAGCGCAAATGGTCTAAATGGCCAGATGATAAATCCCCCTAGGGTAAGGTATTATCATCTCTAATTCTAAACTACTAATCAGAGAAAGGAAACCAGTTAACAGTATCCGCCTCCTCAAATGTTTTGCAACACTCTTTGAACTGAATAATGGGACTTAGTGCCACTTGTATTACTTGCCCACAGATGAAAGCGCAGAGATAGTTCAACGACATTGCTTCTTGAACCTCAGACCATTCGCTCCGCAGCCGAACACGCTATGCACAGTAAAGCTTAAATTTTTGTCTTCAAGATAATTTTTATCCATCTAATGGTCCCACCTGGTGGGTCAATGGTAAGTTTCAGGACTTACGATGCTAAATTCTGGGGTTTGATACCCGCTGTGTACAGAGCATAAATAGCCCATTGTGAAGCTCTTTGCTAAAATAAAGCAGATAAATAATCCATTAAATATCACTGATTTAAATTAAAGACTCAGTAATAATGTCTATCTAAAATAAACGTTAGGAAGTTTTCAACTTTATATATGAATAGAAAGGTAAACAAAAAATGTTATATAACTTGAAATAAGACGAAAATACGTTGCAGTTATAGCAAACACACCAACAGTGTTTATATCATAGAGACGGTAGGCATAATACAAATATGCACGCTAAAAATCAACAGTGACAGAGAGTTTTACTTCAAAAGATGATTTCCATTCACTTTTATTTGTTTCTCTATCCAACAAGGCAAGAAACCATCACTAAGATACCAAACCAGAAAGTGACTAACCTACCAAATTGTTCATCTTTCTTCTTCTTGTGTCAGTCGAGATAACTCTACAACTACTTTATCACTAACGCCAGTTTAAACCTAAATCCACTCTATATGTTTCTGGGCAGTGCACGATGTCGTCGCTTAGTCGTAATAACTAGTAATAATTTTAAAAAATCATAATTCCAATTAAACGATGTTATCATTATCCCTTGTAGTTAGCTTTTTTTTATAGAAATATGGTATTCCTTTATAAAGCTTAAGTACAGGGTGAAACAGGAATTACCAGCCGATAATAGATGAACATAAGATGACTGTAACATGTAGAATACTCGATGCTTTGTACACTATGCTATCGGTGTCTTTAGAAAACCAACCCCTATAACATGTATGAAGTGATGGAGTAAAAAAAAATCAATACACATAATATTAAATTTTATTACACATATTCATAGAACACATACATTAACTTTCAGGTACAAAACAAGTAATAAAAACATTTTGTAAATGTCAAATGATGTAGGGATGGCAGTGCCACAAAAAGAACGCAAACAAGAAAATAGGGATGATACAGGTATATATAGACCATCCCTACATGACTTTCAATATAAAACTTTAATATTACACTGTAAAATACATACTTGTCTCTAATATCATTACAGTTGGAAGTTATATATTCCTGACTGTTGGTATACAGTTTGTTTACCACAATGTCATAGTGGTGTCAGGTTAGGCATAAATGTAGTGTAACTAAGAGTCTAGGACTTACGTACAAGGAAAATCAAGTTCAGTCAAAATATGTCTTAATTATTACAGACTCTTGCAACGAGGTCGGACGAACTGACCGACCTCGGGACCATTTTGTATTTGTGCGGGTCGCCATACCTACATCATTTTACATTTACAAAATGTTTTGTATTACTTGTACACACTTAATAACCTTATAATACTTGATAAAACATTGATATGCGTACGATAAAAATTCCAATTTAACTAATGAAATATAATAAGTATTTTGCTATCTCGCTTGTTATACATATATAGATAAATATTTGTATTTTCCGCAAATTGGATGGATGGAAAAAATACAACATTAGGATGAAACTGAATTAGGATGAAACTGTTTGATTAGGTGCAAAAATACTTACTTGGCATCAGGAGCAAGATGTAACACGGTTGGAAAGTAGTTGTTGAATGCTGTTAGCAAACCCACAGCAAGGTTTGAACCAAGCACCATTAGAAAAAGCACCAAAAATCCAACAATGGGCTTCCTGAAAAAACAACAACATTGGATGAGATTTTTTTTTGTCTGTTTATTGTTAAGCACAAAGCTACACAATAGGCTATCTTCACTGCTCCTATTACTGGTAACGAAACCCAATTTGTAGCATTATAGGACTTACAACTGAGCCACTGGGGGGGGGGGCGGCATTTGACGAGATGCAGATTAAAACCGAAAGGGTTACATAAGGGTGACTTGCGAGACTTAGCATTGTATACAGTGCAGTTACGTTGTAACGTGCGGAACAGTATATTAGGAATATATATGTACTCCTTATTTTACGAACCATTCTTTCACAATCTTCTTGTGCTGTTTTGATTATATAATCCGATTAAAATTATTTAATTTCATTACGTTCACTCTATGGTTAAGTCAGCTTTTTTTTGGCTTAAGTGTGTTTTCTTTACGGTTTCTCA